CAGTCCAAAAATGCATTACAAGATGCACTATTTTCAAAACTTGAAATCTATTTTTTTTCTCATGCATCTTGATGTCGAGATACTCGATTTGAAGATATTCGAGCATCAAAACAACATTTTCTAGTGAAATTTTTGAGGTAGGCTCTAATTTGATTGTTAAGAGTAAACTTTTCCCTTCATATAATCACCCAATTCTATAGAGAACTACAATGACAAAACAAGGAGATTTAGTCTCCAGTACTATTAGAGTATAGAGCCCCTCTCTAAAAACACATACTAGGTTTTAAACCCATTATTATTAGGGTGTAGTTGGCATACGGATGCATCCGTAGGTGTAGAGGTAAGGTGCACCTTCAAATTTTATTATGATATATAACTTTGATGTAAAATGTTATTAGGATTATCTCAAAATCTATTTTTATATCTAATTATAAAATATTTAATTTATAAAATTGTTAAAATCAAGTATATCCAATAAACATATGAAAATCTTGAAAAATGGACGGTGTAGATAATATGTTGTAAAATGCATTATTTCTAAGGCTTAAAAACTTTTTATTTTTCATAGTCATACATCTCGATGTCGAAATGATCAATCAAAGGGTTTTTCAACATTAAAACTTTCTTTTCCGATGGATTTTTGAGAGGCATCCGTAGTTCTACCTTATAAGGTTGCATCCTTATATACATTTTGTTGTTGTTGTTGTTGTTGTTGCTGTTGTAGTTGCTGTTGTTGTTGTTGCTGTTGGTGTTGCTGTTGTTGTTGATGTTGCTGTTGTTGTTGTTGTTGCCGTTGCTGGTGTTGTTGTTGTTGTTGTTGTTGTTGTTGTTGTTGTTGTTGTTGTTGTTGTTGATGATGATGTTGCTGTTGTTGTTCCTATTGTTGTTGTTGTTGCTGTTGCTGTTGCTGTTGCTGTTGCTGTTGCTGTTGCTGTTGCTGTTGCTGTTGCTGTTGCTGTTGTTGTTGTTGTTGTCGTTGCTGTTGCTGTTGCTGTTGCGACTGTTGTTGTTGTTGATGTCGTTGTTGTTGTTGTTGTTGTTGTTGCTATTGTTGCTGTTGTTGTTATTGTTGTTATTGTTGATGGTGTTGTTGTTGCTGTTGTTGTTATTGTTGTTGATGTTGTTATTGTTGTTGTTGCTGTTATTGTTGCTGCTGTTGTTGCTGTTGTTGTTATTGTTGTTGTTGTTGTTGTTGTTGTTGTTGTTGTTGCTACTGTTGTTGTTGTTGATGTCGTTGTAGTTGTTGTTGTTGTTGTTATTGTTGTTGTTGCTATTGTTGCTGTTGTTGTTATTATTATTGTTGTTGTTATTGTTGATGGTGTTGTTGTTGATGTTGTTGTTATTGTTGTTGATGTTGTTACTGTTGTTAAGCGAATGAGTCAGCCACTATATTTACTTCCCGCAAGACAAGATTAATATCCGAGGTTCAGTCCTGCAACAAAGAAACAGCTCTAACAGTTTTTCCTTTTCCACTCACGCCTAGAGGAACGGAAAGGCAATTGCTTGTTTGCGAGGCTGTGAGAGAAACGAATCGTCACATTACATTTGAACACACAAAACCCTACAAATCTTGACATCGTGCGTTCCAACCAAACTCACCTTAAAATTTCTTAGAAAATTCGACCGTCACAAAATAGTAGTGAAAATTTTTGAAGAAGTAAATAGTGTTGGATTCTTCCAAACAACACATGAATTTCGTTTAAACTCAACAAAAAAACAATGGAGTAACAATCTTCAGAGAAAAATATATGACATTCAATCACAGGTATTCCATTATAAAAACAAGTTAATAGAACACCAGAGTTTGTGTTGTTTGAAAGAGAAACAATCATTTGATTCAATTTGGGAAGAGTATATAATACGACTATTTATTTTTGGTACAAGGTGATCATAATTAATATTGACCATTAGATGTAAAACTGGGGGAAAAGCTTTCTATATTCTCCTACAACATAGAAGCTCTATCCTCCCTTTATCCAACTGCCAATATTTTAATGAAGGGCTAAGATTGCCGCAATCACAATGTCACGTCTTTGTACTATTTTATTTTTAATTATTTTTTTATAAACTATTTTGACACCAAATTTTGAATGTCCATTACTCTATTAAACTCACACTAACGATAAATATAAAAAAATAACCAAAATACCCCTGAAAATTTCAAGGGGTATTTTGGTCATTATATTTTATCAAAAAATTATTGTTAATATTATTTATAGGTGTGCCCCAATGAGAATATGGTACATACCAATTTCATATTAAGAAAAATTGTATTAGAAAAACTAAAAATAAAATATTTTGAGATGTCGGATCTAAGATCAAACAGCGTGGCTCTCTTGATAAAAAATGGACGGTTGGATGGTAGGGGGAGGATAGAACTTCTATGTTGCTTGGGAACATAAAAGCTTTTCCAAAACTGGGTGGTTGCACTTATTCTATTGACCAAGCTCAAAGTTCTAAAGATATTTATCTGATGATAAGCAACTATGACCTTCTTATACCAAAGGTAAAATAGTCTCGTTGTATACAATTCCTTCAATTTGATATCCGAGCGACATAAATTATTAGTGAAGTGAGAAAAGAAATCAATTACACATCTATCTATAAATTTCCCTATATTTTTTTTATAAACAAAACCAATTACATATTTTTACCTAAAATACGATTATTCTGTAAATTCCCATGTATGTTTTATATAATTTTACTAAGTTCCCATATAATTATAAGCGAAATACATGCTCATTTCTTGGAAAGGGCAAATTCAAATTTTCATTCAGAAGTCCAAAACAGCCGGAGCCGTAAAATGTGAAATCGGTCGACGGCTGGGGTGTATCCACAGTAAGCAAGTCCGCGTTTAAAATGTGACTTTTCGAAAAATAGCGAGTTTTCTTCAAAAACATTTAAAACTGAGACTTTTGGAAAAGACCGGCAAAAATACAAGTTTTTTTCACCCAAACGTTTAAAATGCGCCTTATTGATCTTGATGAAAAAATTGGTCCAAAAAACCTTTGCTTTTTTTACGTGTATTTTTTTTTCTAAAAGATGAAATTTTTTATCATATTTTATGTAATTGTTATTTCCATGCTTTCTAAAAAGAATATTATTTCCAAAAAAAAAAAACTTCCCTAAAAAATAAATTTTTATCCCCAAGTATATTGTTAGGGTTTATTATTTTAGGGTTTATGCTCAAATCCATTGAATAAAATTAGAATAAAATATCATAAAACCATTTAATAAAAAATCCCCAAATTTTGACTTGGTAAAATTCCACAAAAAAATCCATCCAAATTAGGGCTCAAAGACCTAGATTATCACAATTTGTACATCTTAAATCCCTAAAACAAAAGCTTGGAAAAAAAAACAAACCAGATTAGAGCTCAATCCCCAAACCAAATTCATGACTCAAAATCTTGGATTAGTAAATCCCTAAAACAAAAGCTTAAAAAAAAAAAAGAAAAAACAAGATTAGGGCTCAATCCCCAAACCTAGTTATTGACTGGAAATCTTGGATTAAGGTTTATGTCCACCGTGATCTTCATCTTCTCTGAGATTTTTTATGTCCATCTTGTTTCTCTGTTGCCTATACATATTCTCTCTCACTCTACTTTTTTTTATGGAAGATTTTGTGTTTGCTTCTCTCTCACTTTACGCAATGCTCTTCTTCTTGTTTTGTGTTTCTTCTTGGTCTACTGCGTTTGTTGCTCGTCTAACTAGAACAGGAGCACATCTTCCCATTGCTTAACTATGGTTATAATGGGACGGTCATCATATAGAGAGAGAAATGAATATGCTCAACTCAATTCTACTTATCTCACATTGCTTCTTTTTTTTTTCATTATGTACAAATATGTGTGATGTTTGTTAAAGCATTTAAAGAGAAAATTCATATCGTATATTTATCAGCAACTTATCATTTTATTTTTTATTTCAACTTAATTTTATTTTGATTTCTACTTAATTTATTTTAAACATATCCGTTTTTTTCACTCCGATTTTTTGAGCCTAATCCGATATATTTGAGATATTTTTACATAAAATATCTTTGCCAATCCATATTTTTTATTCGATTTTTTCATCTAACTTTTTAAAATGAAAACGATTTGTTTCTAAGTTTATCCCGACTTGCTAACTATGGGTGTATCATTATCCAAGCTCGAAGTCCTAGATAAATTCTCCACAAAGTTCGCGTCAGAGAATGTACAACACCCCAACTAGGGGTGGTAACGGCTAGGGTAAGGTTAGGTCCGGGTCCAGCCGAACCTAGCAATCCAAATCAGACCAAGACCCAAGAATATAATGAGACCTAGACCAGGACCGACCTGCCGGGTCCAACTTTTCGACCCATAACCAAACCCGGACCGGGTCACCATAGGGTCCGGGTCCATTGCCACCCCTAGTCCCCCAACCAATTTGATTTTACATTTAAAAATTTGTTTTATAAGAAAAGAAAAAATATACAATGACATCATTTACCTTTGATAAAAAATGATCACAATTAATCTTGACCATATGAAATTAAGTGATTATTTATTCCATCGATCAATGATCAAACTCAAAGTTCAAAAAAATGTTTTTGAACTTATGACACACCTAAGTTATCAAATTTCACTTCGAATAGTTATTAAGTAATTATGACCTCTGAAAGGTAAGTGGTCTCATTGTATACAAATCTATAAGAAAATATTTATCGTGCAGAGTTGATCCCGATTCTCTATGGGTTTAGGATATGAAACCCATCCAACTCCAAATGCATTTCCTCATCACATCTATGGACAGCTCGAAAAATAGATGATCCAAGAATAATCAAAATAAATGACTGATTTCATAATTGAAATTTCTATTTCTACATATTCACGACTGGGAAGGTTGAGATTTATCGGTTTTGGAAGGTGGATGCAAGAATATGGTATGTCAGGCACCAATGTCCTGCCCTTTATGAGAGAGTAACTTCAAGAGAGCTTGATATCATGTGCAGGGAGTATGTGAGGAAGAGAGAGAGAGAATCTGAAAAGCTATTTTTGCTGTAACTCACAATATAGCGCAAGTGGCCACAGGAAGAAAATGCCTTTTGGGCTTTGACAATCGGAATCGGTCCCAAAATTCCAGCCCCAACTCACAAGATAATTTGCCCATGTTCAGTTTCTTCACCCTCTTTATCATTTTATTCATCATTTACAACACATGCAACCGAAAAACAAATTTATGTACAGAAGTTACATACAAATAAGAGATTCGAGAAAGGCAGAAAAAGAGAGAGGGGGAGGCGGGAGTTGGTTTTGTCTTACATTTTCTTCTTATCTTGTGTGGCTCTCTGAAGAGACACAGGAGCAGCTGGGATACTGAACCACCATTCTCTTAATCTCCTCGTCCACCTCTCTGTGCTTGCCTTTCTAGGAGGTGAATTCATTGTAAACATCTCCAAAAACCCCAAAAGGACAATAAATCTCCCAGGAATGAAGGCCAAAACCAGGGAAAAAATGATTAAAGCAATCACCACTTTATCTGTAGCCTGTCCATCAAACAGAAATGGCACAGACAATGTCAAAAACCGGATACAGGACAGAGAAAATATATGTGCAGCACCCCCACACCCCTGCCCCCCATTTTCTCTCAGCCTCTCATGGATTTGGTTTTCTCTTTTGAGATATAAATGTCAATGAAGATATAAAACAGGTGAATGCTTATAAGGGGCTTTTGATCTCTAAATGTTCCTTCTTGATGAATGCCAGTGAACTTAATACAGCAATGGTAAAATTGGCTACGGTAAAATAGGCTAAGTTTAAAATAAGATCATTTGCCTTCATACAAAGAGGTCGCAATCACTATTAGCTGCCAGATGTAGAATTGAGTTGCTACCCACATGGCATTGAATGAGACTCATAATCTAAAAAGAATCTTCCGTAATTCTATCACACACTGCAAGCTATTGAACTTCACATCTAAATTCCAGGGGTGATTGTTACCTTCTAACAAATATATAGCAACACAGGTTGTTCTCTCTATTAACTCTCTAAAGAATACTCATTATCATTTTACATTGACATTGACATTTGTCATAAATCTGCTAGTTATATGATCCTCATTTTCAAGGATTATGATGATCTTCATGTTTCAAATGTTTGAGAAACTCACGGAACCTCTACTTCACTTTGAAGAAGAAATGCAAAGAAGAAAAAATGTACTCCACAATTTGTGCTAAAACCCAAAAGAAATATATGGACCAGTTTTTTTTTTTTGGCCAAGTAATATTTAGGAAATTATGTACCTCATTAATTTAAAGTATCTCTGAGCCATTGGCTTTTGATAAGGAAAAGTGAAGATACCCACACACATAAAAAGAAAAAAAATTCGACTTCAAAAGATATATCATCTAAGGTTCGCTAGCACTTGTTTCTCGGTTTAGTATGGGGGGGAGGGAGAGAGAGAGACAATAGAGAACCACACCTGTGGGAAAGCTGCTAAGAGGAGGGCACGGAGCTTTAGGAGGATTATGTTGCCATCTTGGACAAACTCTTCAACTTGCGTAATGGCATTCTGAACTGCCAAGAGCTGCTCCATGGTGTTCATTGGAGGTGGGGCGATGACCTCGACCTCATTCACTAGCTTGCCCTGGCTGCAGATTCTAGTGATCACCATGAATGCTGCCATCAACATAATCAGTAGCGCAAATGCATGGCCCAGCCATCCCCTGGAGGAGTTGGTACAGTTTTTCCAAATTTCAATATATCTATAAACATAAAAATTGAGCTTATACGTACTAAAATGATAATTTATAGAAATTAAGTTACAAGAGATGAACTTTAAGATGATAGAATTTAAGCATACTAATAGATACGACTCAGTGGATAAAGGGCAGAAATTTGTGTTTGAAATTTAGCCATATACTTCGTAGGTATCCATTATCTTTTGTTGATAAGGTAATTACTAGAATTGTCTTGCTATATTCAAGGAAAATTTTCTCTTTTGAGATCTTCCTCTTTTTGGTTTCCTTTGAAAGATTCATAGTTTTCAGTTTTTTATTCATTTGATGTATACCTCAAATTTTTCCTTGTTTATATTTACCCTGAGAGTGATTCAAGAACAATGCAACTGAACATGATTTCCAAATAATGAAATCCGTTACTACATTTACTAGTGATAGTAGAATCAGCATACATGGAGGCGTTGGAATTGCTAAATGAGATTAGAACCAGGCTCATAGTTGTTGGAAGCAGGAGTTTTAGGGTAGGGAATCATCTCCTGCAATAGAGTTCCTACCTTGGAGAACATGGGATCACTTGAGCGACCTAGGAACACCTTAGAATATATGTTGAAAGCGATGTATCTCCAGTGCCCGAAACTCCTATGATGCCCTTTAAAGCTACAAAAATATTGCAGATCAAGCAAATCTATAAAGGGTGTCAACCTTACATGAACTTTTTTCTATAGACGTGCACGCGCACACACAAACAAAAGTACCTCTCGTAATAATCACACATGTGCCCTTGTTGACCAACCTACCCATAAAGAACAACCTCTTGGTGAAAAGCAACCGCATATAAAGTAAATCCATCTTTTGCAACCCATTCTAATCTCAATACTTGTAGTTTGAAAGGTCATTAGGGTTGCATTATTACTGGGTTTGTCATTGTTAATGACATCTCACACTACAAAGGTCAAAAAAGAACTTGCTCTTCGGTAATATATATATATGGGATTGTATACAATGAGACCATATACCTTTCATACAAGGTGGTCGCAATTCCTTACAACCATCCGATGTAAAAATTGATAGCTTGGATGTGCCACAAAGTACAAGAAAATTTCTTTTAAAGTTTGAATTTAGTCAATGGAATAATTGTAGCCACTCAATTTCACATCCAATGGTCAAGATTAATGTGACCACCTTGTACCAAAGGTAAATGGTATCATTTTATACTTTCCCTATATATACATATATATATAATAATTGTAGCCACTCAATTTCACATCCAATGGTCAAGATTAATGTGACCACCTTGTACCAAAGGTAAATGGTCTCATTTTATACTTTCCCTATATAAATATATATATATATGTATAAGGTTAATCATTAATTAAGTGTATAATAGAAACTTTCACAAAAGTACGATGGCATTTTAAAAGTATCGTAGAACTTTTTTAGTACAAACACTATTGTCCTGTGATGAAGATTTCAGTTATGCACTTATAAAGATGACAAATGTCTTTTAATATTTATTACACGTGTCGTTACTTAAGTACCACCTTACCTATAAAAAACAACTTTCTCGTAAAAATAAACTACACATCTCATAAATCCACCCTCCACAACTCAATTTAGACTTAATATTTCTATTTTGAAGGGTTGTTAAAGGATTGTGTATTTGTGTGTGTGTGTCTGTGTATAGATATCATGAATTCGAAACTCAGCTCACAACTAGAGCTTGCCCGAGCCCAGTAACTTGGACAATTGGACCCACCTGATCTCTGGCATAATCCACAAAGAGATCGGAAAAAAAGAAAAGATTAGAAAAGAAAATCAGAAAATTGCAATTACACGAATAAAAACTTAACAGAGAACACAAAGACGAATTTGAATAAAAAATGAGGGAGAAAAAGGGCAGATCTCTTAAATTCTAGGCTTTGATCCAACAAATTAGTAGCCGACCCCAATTAATTGGGAAAAGGCTATGATGATGATCCAACAAATTAGTATGAGGGTCTCGTAGATGGCTGAATCACATCCAACTAGACCTAAATTTCAACGGATTTGATCAAATTTGAGTGAGAACTCGAAGCATTGGCGGATTTGGCGGATTCGGAGTAAGGTTTAACAAAAAACCGCATTTCTTCCCCCAAAAACCCAGAAATTTCGGGCCAAATCTCTCAAAATTTAGGCTTTGATCCAACTAATTAGTATGGGGATCTTGCATAGACGTTCAACCATAACCAAATTTCAATCGATTTGGATCAAGAATGAGAAAGAAATTGAAATATTGGCTAACAGAAAAAACTGCATTTTCCCCAAAAACCAAGATTTCTCGGGCCAGCAAATCTCTCAAATTATAAGCTTTGATCCACCAAATTAGTAAGGGGATCCTGCAGAGGATTGAATCATGTTAAATTAGAACCAAACTTTAAGAGATTTGGATCTAAAATGGGGAAGAAATCAAAGTAATCACGAATTGGGGTGGGTTTAACAAAAGGAAAACTGTGTATTTCCCCAAAACTGAGAATTTTCGGGCCAAATCTCTCAAATTCTAGAGGCTTTAATTCAACAAACTAATAAGCGGATCTTGTGGAGGGTTGAATCATGTTAAACTAGAACCAAGTTTCAACAGATTTGCATCAAAAATGGGAGAAAAATCCCAATTGAGGAAACCAAGTATTTTGGGCTGAATCTCTTAATTTCTAGGTTTTGATCCAACAAATTAATATGGGGATCTTGTAGAGGGTTGAATCACATTCACCTAGAACCAAATTTCAATAAATTCATATAAAAAAAGAGGAAGTACGGCATGCGTTCCCAGGTGCCCTTAATAAGCACACCAGAATTCTCCTCAGCAACCAGTTGGGGACAGCCTTGCTACAGATAAAGAACGAAGCAATTCTGGCCATTTCAGGGCATTATTAACCATTCAAATCATTGAATACATCGATGGGGTTTTGTTGGGCATTCTATAAACCATGCAGCAGCTCATAGAGCCACTTATTTGGAGTTACTCTTTGCATGTGTCATTCATCATCATCAACCAAGCCTTATCCCAATGATTTGGGGTTGACTACATGAATCTTGCTCCTCTATTCTTCTCTATCAAAGGTCATAACTTCAGTAAGACCAAAAGACATCATATGTTTTCTCACTACTTCTATCCATGTCATTTTGGGTCTTCCCCTTATCCTTTTAGAACATTCTACTTGAACCAAATTACACCACCTAATTGTGATGTATTAGGTCGCCTATTGAAGCCACACCTAAGTTCCCTCGTATATATTCATTCCGAATACTATCCTTTCTTGTCCTGCCATTCATCCATCTCAACATCCTCATCTTAGTTATGCTCATCCTATGGATATCGTATTTCTTGACCGCCCAACATTCCGTCCCATAAAGCATGGCTGGTCATACAGCCATCTTATAGAACTTCCCCTTCAATCTCAATGGTATGCGGCAATCACATAAAACTCTGAATGCAGATCTTCACTTTGCCCATCGAGCTCTATTTCGTTGTACGACTTCTTCCTCAATTTCTTCATTCTCATGGAGAGCCATTCATGGTGGTGAAAAGTAGGTCATCAGGCAAGTCTTGCCAGCAATTGCCAAAAACCTATGGAGGATTCCAAGGCTCCACTCAATTTCAAGAAGGCTGGCCCTCCTCTAGTTGGATCCCTCTCAGCCATGTGAGTGCCTTTCCAGATTTAGTAGTGAGGCTGTTCTCAAGCTCCGCCATGGGCAATCGTCTAAATCAGTGGAAAGAGAGACGAGCAATGGCTGGATGGATAGAGGTTAAGGGAGAGGAGTGATCATTTGAGAGAGAGAGAGATTTTCTTAATGAGAGTTTTCGTCCATATCCGGCTGCACACTTTCAATTAGGGAGAAGTTCGCCAAAGGAAAAGGCCAGAAGAGCAAGATTTGCAGACTTTAAAGCACCACGTATAGCAGTTCTCAAATTAAATGAAAAGGCAAGCAAAACAAGAAAACAGATGGCTCCAAGTTA